ATACACGTTTTCCTTATATAAATTGATTTATCACCACCGAAAAGTTTTCTAAAAAGTTGCTTATATGGTGCATTAATTGGCCACTGAAAAGTTGTTAAAATGGTGCATTAATTGACCATTGAAAAGTTGCTGAAATAGAGCATTATGAGATGGCATTTCACTGAAAAGTTGTTAAATGGTCATTAATGATAGCTTGTTTTGTGTTAAATTGGCTTACTTAATGTGAATCTTCACAAAAATTGTTATGTTTACAACTGCCTTACACAAGCAAAAACCTATCTCTCTCTCAAGATATAGCTAACAAAATTTTCACAGTCGTGCACTTAAATTGTCAAGTTATCCAAAATGATGAAGGTGTTGTGTTCATGTCACAAAGGTCCATAAACGTGATGTTCCATATAGATGTATCTCATTGGAAAATGAAGCTAAAAATTGAAAGAAAACTTGGAGCTTTTGTTTCATGTTTGAGGTATCGACACATAATTTCAGAGACTCCACTCAAATATAGTGTAATCCAGCTTGATTGATGATGATGATGATGATATAGTTGTTATGGTTGGTCTTCATCAATATTCAAATAATCAAATGATTGAGATATACGTTGAAACTACATATGTTCCTACTTCCTCAACTAATGCACCTGTGATCGAAGAAGAAAGACCATCAGAAGATTGAGATAACCTTGTTAAGCGATTTGGTGAAAGTATTATTATTTTTAGCGAGGATGATGAAACTTTTGTTCCATTGATGACAGACGATGACACACCAATAATCGATGATTCTGATCGTCGATGATGCTTCAGAGGGACAAGTTTTTTATATAGAGGGTGACGTCTAGGAGACATCAGTTTCTCGTGGTCATACAATGTAAAATAATCTATCAATTTGGTTATATTCAATAACACCCAATCAACGACAAATGATATAACCCCAAATGCCTAAATATCATCATTTAGTTGCACTGCATGAGATAAACTATAATACCATGAGCAATCATGAGATTCCTGATATGACGAAGATATGCGCAGCCCACTGCAGTACCTTGGACGATGGATTAACAGAATTGGAAGTTGAGTCGCAGTTTAAAACTAAGAAGGATTCCCAACTAACAATAAATGAGTTTTGTATCAAAACTCATATGGAATTCAATGTTGTTAAGTCTGATTAGAAGACATTTTTTCAGGTGTATAAATAATAATGTCGGTTGTAAGTGGATGATACGTATCTCATACCTACATCGATTGATGTTGTGGGAAGTCACAAGGTTTCATAACCAGCATAGTTGTATGTTGAGCTCCTTGACACAAGACCACAAGCACTTAGATTCTGATGTCATATGTGCAAACTCCAAGCTTCTAGTGGAGAAAAATCTAAGGATCTCGCTTTTAATGATAGTGGCATCAATACGGAATACAATAGGTTATATTATGTCTTACTACAAGTCATGGATGGCCAAAAGGAAAGTTATAACACTATTTCACGGTGATTAGGATCAGTCGTACAATGATCTTCCACGTCTATTGCACGCAATTGAATTTTTCATCCCAAAAACCATTGTTTGCTCTTGATGGACATGTTATCCCAGGGAAGAGAGTTTTTGGAGGCTTGTTCTGGGCTTTTAAGTCATCCATTGAAGGTTTCTGTTACTGAAAACAAATGGTTCAAGTGGATGGGACTTTTCTATATGGCGTATACAAACAGGTCCTGATGATAGTTGTTGCACAAGATGGTGACAAAAACATCTTCCCCACTGCCTTTGCCATTGCTGAAAATGAATCTCAGGAAACTTGAAATTTCTTTCTGTCAAACTTGTGTTCTCATGTTGTCACTCAAGATGGGGCTTATATGATCTTAGACCGTTCACTTGGGTTATTGGCCACGATTGATAGACTAAGAAGTAGGTGGTCACCTTCCCATGCATTTCCTACGTATGTCATACATTATATTGCTTCCAATATTATGAAAAGGTTTAAAAATAAATATATCAAGAAAGAGATTATTAACATGTCTAACTTATTCTTTTTCCCTTCATTTATGGTTTTCATTTATCATTATACTTAAATCTAACTTCTTTCAGGATTCACGTTACTACAACAGAACTTCCCTGCAAGGCTGGAAAATCTAAGGAAGTATGGAGAAGAGGTTTATAAGTTTGTAGTTGAAATACATCGGGAAAGATAATCACAAGCATATGACGATCATGGCCAACGTTACAGTCATATAACAACTAATCTTGTCAAATTTATCAATCCATTGGTTAAATGGACTAGGCATCTTCATGTAACAAGTATTGTTCGGGAGACTTACTTCAAATTGGGTAAAGTATGGGCAGATAAAGGTGCCCAAGTGGAGGCATGCTCAACGAAGGCAAAAATTGGGCTCCAGATCTGGAGAAAGCAATGAACAAAAATCAAACACATGTAACATCAATGTATGTTCATAATTTTTCCAGACTCGATTCTGAATACATTGTCCATGCACTTGTTCGACCACATGAGGGTGAGAATTCTGCCACATAAACTGGTAATCTGAATAGAAGATGGTGTGATTGTTGTCGATTTCAAGCATTCAGATACCCATGTGCTCATGTGGTTACTGCATGTATGTATGTGAATGTAGACCTGTACTCATACGCTGATGATTGTTATAGTCTGCATATTATGCGCAACATATACAGTTGTGAGTATAAGTATCTCCTAAAAGAAGCATATCAGTCACCAACTGTTTCTGAAGAATGGTTTCCCAATCCATAATTACGAATGAAATTGAGGGGTTGTCCAAAATCTAGTCGAATTCATATTGATATGAATGATCCTCAGCGAGAGCAGGGTCTGTCAAAGCTTTGTGGCCACTGTAGAGGTAAAGGCCACAACAAGAAGCATTGTCCACATCTTTCAAAATATCAAGCAGGTCGATAAAACCTTCTTAATTGTATTCTTATGTTGTTTTGTTGTACCTGTTTTTGATAATTTATCAAAACAAACTTTACTTTTTTACTTTTTATATATAATTGCAAACTATAATGTTTAACTAAACTCAAATTCATACATATATTTAAAACATTTTTTCAACAAAATAAACAACTTTTCCTCTTTTTCTTCCTCCTCTTAATTTTACATTATTATTTTTCTTTTTCTCTTTCCTCTCGATAAGTCGTTTGTTGCGTCGATTTGGTAAGTCTTCATTATTCTTCTATTTCTCCTCCCCCTTTTCATCTTCTTGTGTTGATCAATAATCGACTTTATTGACTCTTTCACTCACTCCTCATCTGAAGATGAGCTTGATTATGAATAATCAATATCAGAGTAATAAGAGCCAAAATGATTTTTCGGAATTTTCTGAAATATTCTTGCCACAAATGCATGATTTGGTTCTCATATAACTTTATCAACTAACCCAACTCCTATTTATACTGAAAATTTCTCAAAATGAACGTTGGAACTCGTCGCATCCACACGATGAGTTCCAACGACTACAAACAACTAATTTTCAAATCTAAACGACTTTGAAACCAAATGAACTCGTCATCTCGACGTGACGAGTTCTAACTTTTTTAAAAAATCAATTCAAATTAAAAATATAAAAAATATATTTTAATGAAATTCGTCACCTTGAAATTACAAGTCCCCCTACACTGTAAAAAAATGTCGTATATCACAAAATAAAACTCTCGCAGCCCTATTTCCCAATTTATTTTAGCGGCTGCCATAATGGGAAAAAAAACTCTTCTTCTGCGTAGGGGTGTTCATTTTTTCAAATTAATTGAATTTAACCGACCGAACTGAATTAGTTTGGTTAATTCGTTCGGCCACCGAATTAGTTCGGTCGGTTAACGGTTAAGAAAATTTTTAGAATTCGGTTAACGGATAATTCAGTTCGAAATCGGTTAATTAACAAATTAAACGAAATTTAATTTTAAATTTTAAATATATTATATATAACATATGACCTCAACCCAAACCATTTAAAACACAATTAATAATTTAAGATTCAATAACTTTTAAACCTAAAGCATTATTAATTAAAAAATTTATATAAATTTTTATTTTATAATTATATATTATTTAAATTAATTGTAAACTGTTTTTTGAATTAAAAAATATTTAATTTTTATATAAATTAACCGAAATTAAATTTTAAATATTAAATATATTATATATAACATATGAGTTTAGCCCAAACTATTTAAAACTTAATTAATAATTTAAGATTCAATAACTTTTAAACCTAAATCAATATTAATTAATTAAAAATTTTATATAAAATTTTTATTTTATAATTATATATTATTTAAATTAATTGTAAACTGTTTTTTTGAATTAAAAATATTTAATTTTTATATAAATTAGAAAATTTTAAAAAATTTCAGTTAATTCGAAAATTAACCGAAATTTATTCTGTTCGGTTAATATTTTCGAAAAAAATAAATTCGGTTCAATTAACGGTTAAAGAAAAAAAAATTGATTAATTCGGTTAATGATAATTTGGTTCGATCGACCACCGAATTAACCGAATGAACAGCCCTAGTTCTACGTGTTACACTCCCTTGGTTAACTATATGGCTGACGTCATAAGAAACAAGAAAGTCATCCTCAAGCTTAATTCCTAAGAGTAGGAAATATTGTTTTGTTGGTTTTATTTGTGTTCCAATTGTGTTTTTGGATTGGTGTAGCAAACGCTTATGTGGTTTCATTTCCTTGTATATATTCAAGTTTTCGGGACTATTTTCCTCCTTCCGCTATCAAGGTCCATCCTTGGTATGAAGAGAGTTTTTAATGAGATCACCCTTCTATATACATTATTTGGTTCGAATGAAGAATTATATGGGTGAAATTTTTCTAAGCCCAATTTGGCAATTCCAACTGGAAAAAAATTAAGACTAAAATCCAGACAAAAATAAATATTTGGAGCTGTCAAGGATGAACCGAAGCAATAGCAAACGTGAAGAATCAATTTCAATTTCTTTCCGAGTATGTAATGATAAAAAGCAAAATTGTAACATCCGTGAGTATTTTTAAACTGAAAATCGATATCATTTCCTCAGATCACCACACAATCAAAGATCAGCTCTACCTGGATATCTTGGGAAGGGAATAACATCTCTAATGTTGTCGACGCCGGTGGCAAAGAGTATCATTCGTTCAAAGCCTAACCCGAATTCACAATGTTTAACTGTTCCAAAGCGCCGTAGGTCAAGATACCACTCGTATGGCTCAAGAGGCAGCCCCATCTCTGAAATTCTGTTAGGAATAACAACAAAAGTCAGTCTCAGTATCAACGTCAACGATATAACAAAGACAGTTTAAATTTGAGTTACAAAACTAAATTAAAATTATGACATGACCAAGGAAACGCTACCACGTACCTTTCCCGAATGACATCATAACGCTCTTCTCTTTGGCTTCCCCGATCATTTCTCCAACCTGAAATGTTTGGAAAATATCGACTCAAAAATGTAGCAAAGAAAAACGGAAGATTGTAAATACATATGTGATGGCATAAAAGAGAGAGAATGCTGGCCTTCGGCACAAGGACGTCCATAGCAGCAACGGTCTTCAAGTCATCATTGAGCCTCATGTAGAATGCTTTTATTCCCTTTGGGTAGTTATAAACAATAACAGGCTTCTGAAATTTAAATTCTGTCGAGTATCTGCAAGGTCAAAGGAAAACAAGATATTAGCATCCATGTTAAAAGCGAGTCGAAGAAAGAATTAGAAACACTGGCAATACCTTGGTTTAAAAAAGCGTGCATTAGGCGCGCTTGATGCTTGATGCGGCCGTTGCGATGGTCAAAACGCATCTGGCAGCCTGATGCGGTAGGGGTACATAATGCGGTCTGATGCGATCCGATGCGGTTGATGCGTGCCGATGCGTTTAGTAAAAGTTTTTTTGGGCGTTTAGTAAAATCTTGGCCGCCACAGTCCCGGTCAAGGTTAACCCTGACAAGAAAGCAACGTTGCACTGAGTGTGGTCGCCGTTAAAAACTTGGCCTACTACCGAGATGATGGAGCTGACTCGTACAGCTTCTGAGTCATGGGTTTCTTTTGATCATTCGACATGATGAAAAGCCCTGATCGCACAATGAAATAGATCAACAAAAGAAGGGCAAAACGGAGTGTAAGATGATGAAAGAGTGATGTTGAGGTGAAAAAGAGAGCTGTGAGGGTGGCGTTATAAGGAGGGAGGTGAAGTGTATATTTAATACACCTTTATCATACGCGTGTACCGTATTATCTAGAAAGGTGTAATGTTGTAATTGAGTCTGGAGTATTGTGCGCGTGTTTGGTTGAGAAGCTTTGCATGGATGTTAGTTGATGAGGATGTGACGCGTGCCTCGGACTCTTGGGCGGGCTTAGTAACGGATCTTTTTCTGTTTGATAATGGGCATGCGTTTCGATGCACTACTCGGTTGAATTAGTTCTTCGCATTAATTCAACCATATGGATTCACACTATAGTTCAAATTAAATTTTGATCTCTTAATTTAGTTATTTTAAGATGAAGAGGATTTGGTGTTTCTTGATGATGATCTTACATGGGATGCGGTGGGTAGAGTTTCCGGGGCTAATGAGTAAAGTCATTTCACTAGAGGATCAAGAAGAGGAGGTGATGATGGGATCGGCCCATCAAGAAATGATAAAGGAAAAATACTCGCTCTTGTTGATGAAGATGAGATGGAGGAAGACATTGGAGTGACTGATGATGATGAGGGAGATGGAGACGTGCTCGGGTTTGATGATGGGGATCTTGGAGACATTTAGTTTGTGACTAGAGAAAGTTTGGAGAACTTAGTGGGAGAAAGAGAAGTGGGGGCTATTGTTGATTTGTCTTTTGGTTGTTTTGATTTTCCTACGTGTATTTGTCTATTTTGTTATTCAACATTTATGAAGTACTATTAAACTACTTTTGGTATTAATTGAAGTATTTTTTATATATAAGTATTTACAAGGTATAAAATTAGTTCAAAAGTATTTTTTTTGTGAAAATTAGCGCATCGGGTTCGTGATGCGAGCGCATCACGCATTACGCATCGGCTTCGGAGAACTAAATGCATCAGAGCGCATCCCGCATTTTAAAACCAAGGGCAATACCTCAGAAGCTAAATCAATCCCCCACTTCATTCTCAAATTTCTTACCAACCTTCACGGCCTTCTCTAAAAGCTCCACCGCCGCCTGAGTGTATGTTATTCGTACAAAGGGAGTCGAAGCAACCATTTCAACCGATCAATGCAAACTTTATCATAACTTTTAGCCATGAATTCCATATCATCCAGGCATTTATCAAGCAACCAATTACACATATACTTCACATAAGCCTCAGCACAGTTCATGTCATCCTGCAAAGCATTCAGTCTTTGAATTAATTACCACATGAATATATTTTGCTCCGCATATAGCCAGACATAACTGAAGATCTGCAAATGCTATTTCAGGCTCTACCATCCAAAATTCTGCCAAATGCCTTGAAGTATGAGACTGTTCGGCCCGAAAAGTTGGGCCAAATGTATACACATTACTAACAGCACAAGCATATGTTTCAACTTGCAGTTGGCCGGACACTGTCAGAAAAGCTTGACGAGCAAAGAAATCTTGAGTGTAGTCAATCTTGCCATCCTTTTTGGGGATCCGGGTTTCAATGTAGATCTCTCCTCCAACTTAGAGAGACTTTCCTTCGCTCTGTTAAGTTCAGCCACAGAAGCAGCGATATCCGATTTGCTTGCTTTAGCAGCTTTAAGTTGTTTAACACCCTCTCCTCTCTCGCTCACAAGTTGCCTAGCTGCTTCTATATCCGCCTCGGACGGAGGAGGGTTTTTAATCAGTTCCTTCTCTAGCTTTTCAGAATCACTAATCAAAGTCGTAACTTGAAACATCTCACCGGCACCCTCACAATCACTAGTAGTAATAATTTGAGTGTGCACATAAAGGAAATTATGCTCTTGGAAAAACGAATGAGTAGCAAAAGCAAGTGCGTTCCTAATTCGAGCAAGGGAAGCAATCTGAATTCACATATAAAATTACCAAGGATTACAAAATTATAATAATAAAAAAAGGAAGCTAAACATATTGCACAACATATCTCGATATTATACAGCATAAAAACCGGTCCTACAGTCGCTAAATTAAACTCAGCAGAGTTTACTTGTAATGAAGATTGAAAATGCACCTTCAATACATTCAGATGTATTAAAATTTAAATCTTTTTATTAATAAAATACCGAAATAGTACTTCTTTTCGAAGTTTCATAGAAGAAAAGATGAGAATTCATACCGTGTTGGTCCTAGATCGAAGATGAAGATGATCCCTCAAGAACTCAAGTGTGAGCTTGGTTTTTGGAATCGGGTACTTAGCAGGATCCACCTCGCCTACAGAAACCACTTTTTCGACCCGAAGCTCAATCTTCTGCCTCGTGCCTTCAGGCGGCACCTTCAATATTCCATCCACCACAACGCAGGTGCCGGTTGCAACCAGCTTGCTTAGAACAGCCACTCCGGCGTCTACAATGACCTGCAAGTTCGCCGGGCACGATCCATCATTCAGTTCCAAGAATGCAAAAGTTTCCTTCCCTTGCTCTCTCCCTGCCTTAACCCAACCACAGGCGCGAACATTTTGTCCAGCTAGGCCAGCCCCGCCGTCTGGTCGGCTGACGATGGAACGGATCAGGACTCGGTCGGTGAATGCGTATTTCTCAACAGCGTCGGCCAATTTCATCGCAACGAGTTTGTCTGACGGCGGCGGCGCCTGATCTGTTTCCGCCATTGGATTTTCTAAGCTTGACAGAGATAAACGGTAAGAGTGATAGACTTTTATTTTGAAACTTAAGTGATATAAACCCAACAACTGAAATCTTATATGTTGTGAGCCTCCATTATAAAATAGTAATTTGATTATTTATATACTTTAAATTCGTCACTTTTTATTAAAAATTAGTAATAATCTAAGTTGAACGTTAACTTATTAATTGTTCTATGATAAAATATAATCTTAAAATTTGTATTTTATGGATTGACATTTCGCTTATATTATTCCGACCAGTTAGTATTTAAAACATTTTATCGTATAGATGGTGCTTGAAAGCAACAACAGTGTCAATAGACATAATAAAAATATAATTTTATCATATCCTAGTCAGTATGCTAACATCCAGCTAAAATGATCATTAAATTTCTAATTGAAAATTATAAGTTTGAAACATATAAATAGTAAATAGGTGACCGGTTAAAATTGATACCGGAAATGTTATATATTTTCACCAGAAATATTATTTGTATTGGAATAATAATGATAATAATCGGGAATGTTATTGTCGTATGTAAAATGCACCAAAAAATATTGACTTTAACATAACCGATTAATTACTGGAAACATTATCAGCCATAATAACATATTATGTAGCGTTTATGTATCGTAATAGGTAGCGCATTTTTAAAGTTGATGGGGACTTAGAAATCCGACGATAATAAAATAGGTTAATTACTTGATTTGTTATTAATATTATCAATATATTAGGTAGTGCCTAAAATATTACCAAAGTTTAAGCTGATGAAGTCTTAGAAATCTGACAATAACAAAATATGTTAATTATTGGAAATATTATCAACCATAATAACATAACAACTAACAATTATTTAACATAATAGGTAGCGCTTGTTTAAAGCTGATGAGGACTTGGAAATTCGACTATAACAAAATATGTTAATTACTTAATTTGTTATTAGTATTATCAACATATTAGGTAACGCCTAAAATGTTACCAAAGTTTATGCTGATGGAGCCTTAGAAACCCTACGATAACAAAATATGTTAATTACTGGAAACATTATCAACCATAATAACATAACAAGTAGCGCTTATTTAATATAATAGGTAGCGTATGTTTAAAGCTGATGGGGCCTTAGAAATCCGACGCAACAAAATAGGTTAATTACTTAATTTGTTATCATTATTATCAACATATTAGGTAGCGCCTAAAATGTTACCAAAGTTTAAAGATGATAGAGCCTTAGAAATTTGAAGATAATAAAATAGGTTAATTACTTGATTTGTTATTAGTATTATCAACATATTACCGTGTACATTGTTAATTTACTTATTACTTGAACCTCGGTATCGGTTTGTTTATAGGTTAATAGTATTGTAAACAGTAAAATATTGTTAACCTAACCATTTAATTGATTTAATATCGGTAATTGTATTGAAAATATCATTGTTGTTTAGATCAAAAGTATCGATACCTATACAAAAAGTATCGAAACTTTATGTTCAAGCCTATTATCATTAAACTGGTAGATTTTTACCATTTATATTGTATATTTACCTATTACTTTAATGTAATAGGTTTCAAAATTATAAGTATTGATACTTGTGATACATGTATCGATACTTTTTGTGTGCATGTTATTTGAGAAGCATATTGGACTAAAAGTATCGATATATATACAAAGAGTATCGATATTTTATGTTTACGCCTATTATCATTAAATCGATAGATTTTTATCATTTACATTGTAAATTTACCTATAACTTTAAAGTAATTGGTTTCGAAATTATAAGTATCGATACTTGTTATACATGTATCAATACTTTTTGCGTATAAATTGTTGAGAAACATATTGGACTAAAAGTATCGATACCTATACAAAGAGTATCGATACTTTATGTTTATGCCTATTGTTAGGTACCAAGGTTCAA